TCCTGGGCTCAAGCGAGTCTCCTGCCTCCGCCTCCCAAGTAGCTGGGACCACAGGCGCCCACCACAACGCCCGGCTATTTTTTGGTTGCAGCCATCATTGTTGTTTGGCGGGTCCGGGCTGGGGATTCGAACCCGCCACCTTAGGTGTACGTGGCTGGCGCCTTAGCCGGTTGAGCTATAGGCGCCGAGCCTCCATAAAGGTTTTAAGATAAAATTGAAAAGAGTAATTTGAAATATCATGAGAACTTGTAGATTTAAAACTAGATTTTATTGACGGTACCCAGAGTCAGCCAGACTTCACACCTTGAGGAAGTCTTCCACAAGACTCCTCTAACTTCTCACACCACCTGCATATTCAGAGGGCTTCCAGCACTACCCTTAGGTTCAGTAATTTGCTAGGGCAGTCACAGAACTCTCTGAAAGCCATTAAACTCATAAAAGGATTACAGATCACAGGGATACAGATTAAAACAGCTAAAGGAGCTGCAGATGCTGGCATGGATGTGGTGAAGGGTACACTTTTACATTCTTGGTGGGACTGCAAACTAATACAGCCTCTTTGGAAAGAAGCATGGAGAATCTTCAGAGAACTCAAATTAGATCTCCCCTTTGACCCTGCAATCCCACTACTAGGCATCTACCCAGAAGAAAAAAAATCATTTTATCATAAGGACATTTGCACTAGATTGTTTATCACAGCTCAGTTTATAACCGCCAAGATGTGGAAACAACCTAAATGCCTGTCAACCCAGGAATGGATCGACAAATTGTGGTATATGCATACCGTGGAATACTATTTAGCCATAAAAAGATAGTGGCTTCACATCTTTTGTAATATCCTGGATGGAGTTGAGACACATTTTTTTTAGTAAAGTATCAGAAGAATGGTAAAGCAAATATCCAATGCGCTCAATAGTAATAGGAAGCCAGTAGACAATCTAATGCACGCTCACATAGGAGAAAACTCATTTCAATTCAAAATGGGAGGAGACCTGGAGTGCTCTCACTGAGTGGGCACAATGTGGAGGTGTATATGTGGAGGCCCCTTTTAAGTGTGGAACATCACTGCAAGAGGGATTCTACCTAACAAAATCAAATATTTTGACCTGGTTGTTTGTATCCTCACATTAATCTGAAATAAATTTATTTTTCAATTAAAAAAACCCAAAACGAACAAAGCAGGTAAGGGAAGAATTGCTTAGGGTGAAGTCCAGGAAGAGTGCATATGTGGAGCTTCTACTGTCTTCGTGAAGTCAGGACATGTTCTTCCACACCGATGTGTGACAGTACACAGGTTGCCAACCTGGTATACTTGCTCAGGTTTCAGTGTTCAGGTATTTATGGAGGCTTCATTATGTTAGCATGCTTGATTTATTGCTTGACTACCTATAGAACTCAGTCTCCAAATGGACTGATACTGTGTGACTCAGAGCCCCCATCGGTTTCCCTGAGATTATTAGATGTGGCCAACCCTACTTGAAGATTTGGTGTGGCCAGCACCCACTATAAACAAGGGCACTTATATCAGTATGACAGATACATTCTCAGAAGCTGAGGATAATGCCTAGACTTTTTGTTGGCCAAGGCCAAATTCTGTATTACACGGGGACATATAAACCAGTGATGAAAAGGAAAAAAGATATTTTCAGATGGAAGTCAACATGATTGTCTGTTGAAGATATCAGAGTTAAAAAAAATCTTAAAAATATGTAAAGAAAAGATAGATCATTCAAGAAAAAATATCCCAAAAGAAGTGACCTAGCTGGTATAAATAGATTGAAATAAAATATAGATTAAATATGTCTATTAAATATACATCTATAACAGATTAATATAGACTAAAATCTGTAAGTTCAGCTGCTAAAGCAAAATTTGAGAAAATATTTGAACAGAGAAAGCTTGGTTTCCTGTGAAGACCCCCCCCCCCGCCCTGCCCATCCCCCTACTTGTCTTCAGGATGGAAACTGACCTAGAAAGAACTGGTCTTCCTTGTTTGATGTTGTTCCTCCTTGTGCCTCAGTCCCAGGCCCCCTGCTGGCCCCAGTCTGGGTGCATGCTTACACAGTGAATAGCTGAGTTGAGAAGATTCTTAGCTGCAAGTGACAGAATACCCAACTGACAGTTATTCTGCAGAATCGTATCTGGGGACAGGCATTTAAGGGCCCTGGCAGCAACTTAACTATTGCAAGCCTTTTACTTCTTTCTCTTCTTTTGTCCTGAACCGTATTGGCCATTTTTTCTCAGGCTTATACCTTTTTGGTTGCAAGATGGCTATCATAGCTGTAGGCTTCACAATTACATTTGAAGACAGGGATAGGTGGTTGGGTAGGCTTAGACAGCAGCAAAAAAGCCCATTTCTCAACTGGTTCTGTCCATTTTTTAATCCATAAAGGAAAATGGTCCCTGGTATCCCTGATTGAAGTGGAGTTAGGTGGCCACACCCCTAGCTGCAAACATAGCTGGGAAATACTTGATTGGCATAGGTGGATTACTATTTATTCTCTGGGGATAGTCACAGTATACTCTGTTGAGAAGAGGTGGGGCAGGAATTAGGAAGGCTCTGGGGTTCTTTCTGCCTTGGTTATCTTAGATCTAAGATTTTATTTAGCACCTATGTGCTAATGATGACCTCATCTGCCTGAGTCTCCTGCAGATCAGCCACAAGTCAGTTCCTCTTGAATTCACACAGGACCCACTCTTGGTTTTTCCCTGGCCTACTCCTCCCGCATCCAGCCTGTCCGCAGTCCCCGTGGATTCTTCCCTGTGGAATGATCTTGTATGTTCCTGATTCTCCTTGCTGTGTTCCCTTCTCCCACTTTTCTGTCTCCTGTTTTATTTATCAGCACCTTGTACTGTTAGCAATTCAATTTTCTTTTTCTTTGAATATTTAATATTTATTTTGTTTTACTTTTTTGTATATGTGTAAATGATTTGATTTTATGGATTTATGAGACTTTTCATATAAATCAATTCATAAATAAAAGAGAACTGTTCAGTTAACATTTTATTTTTAATCTTATAAGTTGATATTTTGCTTTTAATATATAGGTTTATGATTTAACACATGTACGTATTTGTATAACTACCACCATAATCCAAATAATATCTACAAGTCATAATGTTATCATTCAAAAAAATTCCTGTTGTTATTCCTTTATGGTTAACCCCTTCTCCTTCCATAACTTTTGGCTACCACTCATATATTCACCTTCTCTACATTTTTGTCTTTGAAAATGTCATGTGAATGGAATCATATAGTATACAACCTTTTGATACTGGCATTTTTCACTCACACAGTAATGCCTTGGAGATTCTAAGTTGTATGTATCAATAATTCACTTACCTTTATTGCCAAGTAGCATTCCACGGTGTGGATATACCACAGGTTAACTGTTAACTTGTTGAAGGACATCTGGATTGTTTTCACTTTTTGTCTGATGTAAATAAAGCTGCTGTAACATTTGTATATAGATTTCCTTCCCATTTTTTTTATTATGGCAAAATACGTAGTACAATTAGTATAAAATTTATTGTGTTCATTATTTTAAAATTTATAGTTCAGTGGTATTAAATACATTCAAATTGTGTAGATACCACTACCATCCATTTGTAGAACTCTTTTCACCTTGCATCTTGAAATTCTGCCCATTAAACAGTTAACTTCTCATTACCCCTACTCCAAGCCTCTGGCTACTATCATTTTTCTTTGTGTTTCTAGGGTTTTTCTTTCTCTAAGTATACTGTATAAATAGTATTTGTCTTTTGTGACTGGATTATATATAGATTTTTGCGTGAGCAAGTCTATTTCTCTGAGATAAATGCACAAGAGTACAATTGCTGGATTCTATGATTATTGCATATTTCCTTTTTAAATAAAACATCTACTTTTTCTGAGTGGAAAGTTTATTTTATATTCTCATCAGCAGTGTTCTAAGTCCAGCCTTCTTCAGATAGTGAATTCAATTTCTGGAAAGGTGACTCTGGTCACTGCTGGGTTAGGTGTTTACCCTTAGAATAGTCATCATTAGCTGATTTGGGAAGTAATAGTTGATAGTAATCTATGCTGTTTTCAAAATTTAAAGTTTTAGAAGCATATACTGTACTACATAAATGAACATGTTCCCATCCTCTTGTCGTTCTCGTCTAGCTTTTTCTTTGGCCCTATATTTATATTTTTACCCTCTCTCAGATGATTAATTCTATTTTTTTTTTTAGTTGTTGTTTTCTCTCTTCCATTTAGTTTTTAACTCCTCTCTGTTTTTTGCATGCATCTATGATAATTTACTCAATGCTGTTTTCTCTGTTCTTAGCCTTGAAATTATAACTTTGTTTCTGGGTTTCCTCTTCCTCTACTGCTGTAGTTCTCAACCCCTGGGTTTGTAGGCTGGTACTGCTCCCTGGCCTGTTAGGAACGGGGTTACATAGCCAGGAGGTGAGCGGCTGATGAAGGAGCAAAGCTTCATCCACATTTACGGCCACTTCTCTTGCATCGCTGTCTGAGCCCCACTTCCTGTCAGATCAGTGGGGACATTTGGTTTTCATAGGACCGTGAAGCCTACTGTAAACTGTGCATGCAAGGGATGTAGGTTGTGCACTCCCTGTGAGAATGTAACATCTGATGATCCAAGGTAAATGTAACGTGCTTGAGTCATCCTGAAACCATCCTCCCTCCAGCTCCCATCTGTGGAAGATGATTTTCCATGAAGCTGGCCCCTAATACCAAAAAGGTTGGGGACTGCTGCTCTACTGTATAAAGCGTTTGCTCTTCAAGTTCATCCTAGGTTCATTTTCTTTTTTTTATCAAGTTATATGTATTTTATTTTCTGGGCAGACCAGTGAATCACTGAATATCCTTACCTTTTAATGGCAAAAGAAGAAAACAACTATCAGGATTTGATGGAGGAGCCTTTAAGTTTTATACTTAATTAAAGGTTGAAGTTCATAAGAAGGCCACTTTTACCAGTCTCTCTCTCTCTCTTTTTCTTTTCCTTTTCTTACAGGGAAGAAGAAGAACGTCTGAGAAATAAAATTCGAGCTGATCATGAGAAGGCACTAGAAGAAGCAAAAGAAAAATTAAAAAAGTCAAGAGAGGAAATTCGAGCAGAAATTCAGACAGAGAAAAACAAGGTAGCTCAAGAAATAAAGAGTAAAGAGAAGAAGCCCTTGCCACCAGTTCCTATTCCAAACCTTATAGGAATAAATGGTGGAGACCCAGAAGATAATGATACAAGAGAGAAAAGGGAAAAAATTAAAGAGGTAATGAGCTGAGATTTATGATGTGAAGTAGTTTTGGATATGTATTTGATTGCATGCACGTGTGTGTGCGCACATACATGCACACACACAAACAACACACACACTATGTTGTCATTCGTTGATCTCGTTATCTTGTTTTTTCTTTGCTCATAGTTGTAGTTCACTTTCCAAGTTGGCAGTAAGGACTAGAACTCAGTCTTTTTCTTAATATTGATTCTAATATAATTATTGGGCACTTAAATATATAATGTTTGAATAGTTACATCACTCACCTGTGTTAAGAGATCTCTTAAAACTCTGATTTTATAAATAATAGATTCATGTATAATTTCTCCTTGAATAAGCTATTTCTTAATTAAAAGTTCAGTTATAAAAGACTTTGCTATATACTATACAAATCTCATAAATGTGCTTCTAAAGAGTTAGTATTATATGGCAGTCTTTTAGGGAATATGTCATTATACTTGCCCCTCAACCATACTGTAGAATAATAGCACATTCCTTTCAAAGAGTTTCCCTGGATTGAAGAATGAGGAAGAGTTGATCTCAAAATTTTTAGTTTATTTATCCTGAGAAGTCTTTCCATTTGTTATTCTCTAACTTAGAGATAAAAATACCACAAAGGGAAATATCTAGTGAATATTTGAATTAAACTTTGTTCATTAGAGCTCTGGAGGAGGTTTGCAGTTATACTGGTACAGAGACAGAGGTTTTGTTAAAGTATAATAGCATCAGTAGTATTTCAAAAGGTTTGTTTATCATAAAATAAGATTTACTTCAAATAATCAAGTATCTCTTCAGATATATTCCAGTTACGTAGATAGGTTTAGCAGATATTTTAAGTTGGACTCTTAAATTATTATAAAACCTTGACCTCAATGGAGTCAAAATAGAGCTACACTCTGATTTTACCTCACCTGTAGAATCTATGTTTTATTAATATATATATACATACAAACTGTTCAAGGACACTTTCTTTGAACACTATTGAGGAGAAACATTGATAGATTTTATTTTTTAGATGCTTGACTTGGTTTATTTAGATGTCATAATTTATTGAAATGCTTTCTCATACACATAGCAATTCAGACGGATAACTAGTGTGTGTTCACAGGATCCCAAGACAATTGTTAGGCTCAGTAATTTGCTAGAAGTCCTCACAGAACTCATCATATAGAAATACATTTGATGTTACTTTATTAAACTTGTATCTTCTTGCCTTACTGAAGTCATTATTCTGATAGCTTTTTTGTAGATTACCTGGGATTTTTTTTGTACATAGTCATCATGTCCTTTCTGAATAGAAGTACTTTTCCTTTTTTCTTTTTGATTTTTTACTTTTTATATGTTTTTGTTATCTTACTGCAGAGGCTAGGATTTCCAGTACATTGTTGAAAAGAAATACAAGAATGGACATAACTACATTTCTTCCTGAATTTAGAGGTTAAGCATTTAGTTTTTCATAAAGACCATTAAGCGTGATAGTTTGTCTTCATTTTTGTCTAGATTATGTTTTTTTCTCTTACTCTCTTAACATAGAATTACATTGATTATTTTCTGAATGTTAAATTAATCTTATTTTCCTGGGCTAAACTGTACTTGGTCATGGTATAATACCTTCCTTATATTTTGCTAATTTTCTGAAGGAATTTTGTATTTGTGTTCCTTGAGATATATTGGTCTTGAGCCTTTTGTTATGTCTTTGCCTAAATTTGTTACCTGAGTAATGTTGGCTTGGTAAAACAAGGTGGGAAATGTGTTTCAGTGAATAGTTTGCTGTTAAATGAAAAGTTTTTTGATACACCATAATCTACTATTATATAATTCAGCTGCTATATATAATTAAATACTCTGCAATTGCATAGCTTAGAACTGCTTATATTGTAACTCCTTAGCTTAAACTAATTGATATAAAAATAGTAGTTTAGTGGCTTTAAACTAGGGCTTCAGGCTTGGTTGAATCTAAGTCTGTAGATGTTATTGTCAGTATTATGTATCTGTCTGTCTCTTTACTTTTGTTTAATTTCTCCATGTTGGAAGAAAAGTTAGTATCATATGTTACATAGACCTTGAAATCACAAAATGAGAGAGTCCCTTTGTCTCCTGCTGTCTTTGCCAATATGTGTAAAAATAACTTGTTTGTCCCTACCCGAATTGCATGTACCTGGTCACTGTCTAGGGTAGGCGTTGACCATCTACAATCTGTTGGTCATATTCTGCCTGCTCCCTGTTTTTAAACATAAAGCTATGCCCATTTACTTACATATTTTCTTGGACTGCTTTTCTGTTACAATAGCAGAGGTAAAGTTTGGTGATCTCTGGTGTAAGGGAATAGCCAGGCTGAGTTTATTGGGGGTGGAACTGTGGCCCTTTGACTGACAGTTCTGTCACAATCCCAGTAAGGTAAGGGGCACTGTTCCCCAAAGGACTGATAGTCATACAGACATCTTCCTTCCCAAGAAGAAGAACTTGTCTATTACACTCATTTTTTTTCTGTTAAGTAGGTTGAAATTAAACATCATTATGCATGTGTTCACACTGTTATGAATATTAAGTGAATAATATACTAATTAAGAGGTCTAGGAGAATGTGTAAGGATTGTCCCGTCCTGCGGGACACGGTTATTCGGGGGGCGAGGGGGACCCAGCCTGTAAAGAGAATGGGCACGAGAAAGAAGAGGAGGCGAGACCAAGCAGATTTGTCAAGGTCTCATTTAATGGATGTAACAGATCAGTTTTTATAGCATTCA